CACAGACTGTAAAGGCATAGAGCACATTCGCCAGCGAGATGATTTGTATGGTATCAAGAAGGTCCGTAGGGCTAACAGTTTCAAATAGTCTAAATCGCTGAACACTATTCAGATTACTGGAATGAACTGCTCGAGTGTTGAACTTACCTCTAGCACGGCTTTGTGATATGCGTCGGTCAGCGACGAGCACGGTTGCCACAACCTGGACAAGTCTCCTCCATCAAACAATTTCTTCATTCCACAATCGTATAAAATCGGCTTCAAATCTATCATAGGTTGATCTGCGAGCTTGAATTTCGGAAGAAACAAGTGGGCTTCTTCCATTTGGAACGGGCTTCTCAATGGGGAAGCCCATTTTCCCGGTGCTTGTAATCTGGAAAGAAGTTTCGGCAAACCAGCTGTTTCGTGTGGCAACAAAATCAATAACGCCCATTCACACTGCGAACTGAAATGAAACCGAAATTCGGGAAAACGTTGATAAATCCCAGCAAGATATCAGTGACTGAAACAATGAAAATGACTGGAAAACGTGACGTGATTCAGTAGCACTCGGGGTGGGGTGTGATGACTCACTTCGTGATCCCCTTGTTTAACGGCTGAAAACAGTTAAATATAAAATAAAGCAAAGTGCATCGAGCCTGAAATTAAATTCTCCGTATCCGGCCCTCTGTGTGCAGCTACTGGGCCGATCAGTTTGATAACACAAGCGTACGACCGATACGGCAGGACAATATCCTCAGTTTTCTCTCTGCTCCTTGCTAAACTGCCGCTTGTTCGTCTGCCGAATTCTTTCGAGTTAAGGCGATTCTTCGAAATACGTCGCATACGGGTTCTTTGGAACCCCACATTCGTTCATCTCTTTTGAATAAGGAAATATGACGAGCTGATAGCCTCCGGGTGCTGATGTGTTCAAGCAAGACCTTCTGATGCCGCACCGCGTCATCATCATCGTCATCATCGACAACATGAAATCAGTAATCAACACCGATATTCCGCTGCCGTACTTCAGGGCATCAATCAGATGCAAACGGTGCCGTCGAGCTTGTTTGGATTAGGACTTATTTGCCGAGGTCAATCACTTAAATTTCCGAATTCCCATGACAGGCTATGGAACTTTTCATGGAGTCAACCAAAATCCTACCGTTTGCTATATAAACAGACTTACTCGCTCCGTCGAAAAGGAAGTTTCATAGCCATACAGTCCAGTTCCGCGAGGTCAGTCAGATAGAATGATGATTCCCTATACATCATTTGCACTTTCATCGATTCCCCATTCAAGCAATGGAAGTCACTCTCTTGAGTTTGTTCCTTAGCGAACTGGTGATCCCATGAGCCTTGGATTCGTTCAGATCATAGTTGGGCTTTATAGACACTTACCTCGGAAATACAACGCGTTGATTAGCAGAAATATCGTGTCCTCGTCGAGAAATTTAAGCGGCAACATTTCCTCAATTTTGTTCTTTGTGTTTTTGGCCACCCAGGCGTTAATGTGACGTCTTTTCGCCTCTAGATCTGGTAGTCCGCATATCTATATGCACATGACAGTGAGAGAACGTTGGAGCAAAGGATTACCAGCTCCACTGAGGCTTTGTAACACTTGGCAACCAGTGCACTGTATTCTGGCCGAATATCGATCGAATGCAGAAGAAATAGTCGATTGGCAAGGTTCAAGTCCACGTCGGTGGACGCCTCGAAATACTTCGAAATTATTGGTCCATAGGACTGATGAACAGCATTGGATCTGAGCTTCGGGGGAATGTGAAGCACCTGCTGCATCTCTTGCAGTGTTTCCCCGTCGGCTCCGGCCATCACCAACAACGAGGCACAATAAATACTCATGGGCGAAAATACAGAGTTCGTTAAATTTTCTGGGCCATGTGTGAATAAGTTGGTTCATGGGAAACCTAATGACTTACCGGCTTGCAATTTGATAATTTTTTCATAAACATCTGTAGCGAATTCTGTGAGGCCTTCTTTGAATTGGAGGACGTCTTCCATTTCTTTAGCCTGCATAGTGTGCCTAATCTGCAAAATTGTTTTCAACCTATATATGAGGTTCGGGTTGACATTCCCTGCCTACGCGTTCTCTTCGGTCGGCAGGTTTACGGAATCACATGGTTTTGTGGAGATGAACAAACGGTGTGCTGTTTTCTACACACCATGTGAGCAAGGTCAATTCGTCCGTTGTCCAATACGAAACCCTCGGTCACTTGAACAAACTCATCAGCGTGTGTTTCAGTTCTGAATGACACTATGGAAGAACAGGTATTTCACTCTAACAAGTCGATGAGTTTGGTGAGACAAAACGTGTACATATGTTGTATTTATGTGATGGTATTTCGCGGTTGCTGTTGTGTGCCTGAATGTCTTAGGGGGTCGATGGATGGATATGATGGTCGTTTCAGTACGCACTATTTTCTGAAAGCTCTGGTAAACAATCGGTATATTTCATCGATGGGCAGGTTAAAGCGATGACTTGCGGAAATAACGGCTGCTCAAGCCTTTCCGAACTTTGTACAACTGGCAGCAAACTCACTGTCTTAGATGTCCACCTTTCTCTACATGGTGTGCTCGACAGAATCCGTTTCGGGGAGTTTTCAGCTAGGTTAGTGTGACCAGGGTGTGGTGTTACACACCCTGTCCGATGTAAATAACGCATGTGGCCTAACTGTTTTATATTTGGTGACCATGGCCTTCCATTCAACTGACTATTCTTATAAATGTTCAGATATGTAATGACAATTTTCGTTTCATCCGAACCAGAAGGATGCTTTGTTGACATCCATAGTCTCGAACTTTCTGTCTGAGCAGTGGATACTGATCACTTGATGAGGGGAACATTTCTACCACAATATCCTGAGACAAACATATGTGAGTCAAGCACGGGAGTGTTCATGTGTTACAATGTGATAGGGTAGTCCATATCCCGAGACAGCCGTTTTCAACCCGTTGATCCATTTTTGGCAACCATTTCAAAATTCGGGTTGAATTAATTCAAAGACCTTCGAACTACGGAACGAATTTCAGTGATTTCGTCTGAGTGAAACTACCTGAAACGCCGCACCGTATTTTGGTATCCGAGATCGCCGCAAGTGTTGTGGAAGCGATGATCCATCCAGTTATTTGTACGGTCATGTTTATGAACAACGCGTATTTCTTGACATATGTGATATGGCTACCAACCGATGTCAGTGTCGTTCTTGTTGTCAGTTTCTATCCATATTGCCTGAGTGAATGTTTGGAGATGTGGGCACCTCGAGATGATTGTGGTAAGCTTGCACTAAGTCCTTTCCCTGTCCATGTTTATTCCTTTCTTCCAATGTACGGTAGTGAATAATCCACGTATCGCGCTTCGCGATGGCATTAGTTTGACATCACGAGGCGTACACATAGGCCCCGATATTCCAACTCACATATGTCGTGCCCACATTTACTGGCCAATACGTGTCCGAAGTAAGTGAAGGAATTAATTGCAAACATTCGCTTCACTATTAACCGTTCAATCTGTGGATAGTTTGATATCTTTCCACGTACGTTGGGAGTCATATTATTGATACAGTTCGGAAATCCTATCACATGGCTCATCAGAATGGATTTCCAAAATGCACTTATCTGTTTGGAAAAGGCCAGTGATTTAGACACTTTCAAACAGCATCGCCGTATCACATTCCAGCTAAGTGCCTCAATGCATCCACGGAATTTTTAAAAAAAATACCATTTTTCAAATGTAGAAATTGAAGGTGAATTATCATAATAGTCACATGGTAAACTAGGACGTATCACGCAACTTGATTTTTCCCGAATTTTCGTCCACTCTCCGTTGACCCGCATCATCCATTGAAACAAGCAAGTCGACTGAGATTGTCGAAAATGTGAGGGCACAGAATTTTTATCTGTAAAGGGTCTTGCGTAAAAATTCAGCCTTTGTGATGTAACCCGCACTTTGAGATGACCATGAATAGAAAGGGCATGTAACATAGCTCCTCCCAATCCAATGTTGAAAACCGCCCCACCACTCGTAGGGGCAAATTATGACGAATAGTGTCAAATGGATTTGAGTTTGGATGTTTTCAGTTTTGGCTTGGGAGATTTACCGAATCCATTTGATTGTGTGTGCAGAGATGGAACTTGATTAATTTACTCTAATGCCCTTGGTCTACGTAGGTGTCCTCTTTGATCAATAACGGACTGGCGCATTTAGTTAATGCCCGTCATTACGCACACGGACGGCGGTTGAAGTTTACAAAAATCCCGGTTAAAGACGAGTGTTTCCAGAATAATCTTTGTGGGAAAAGTCACGAATTTTGCACCCATTGTGTATGGACCTTTTCTAACCTTTACTTTCTAAGTTATCGCCTTGATTAGTTGGAGGAATTTGCTGAGGCATGCCGATGAAATCAGTGATTTATAGGCCTTTTCACGACAGTAGTTCAAATTGGACCAAATTGTTCTGAAGCGCTGTTCCCTACGTTGGTGGCATTGAATGTGTCTCTAGCCCAGTCATCACCTTTAAAAATGGCTAAATTGTGTGGGCGATGGAAGTTTTGAAATTTCATTAAATTCCACCATTTGTTCATCATCCAGATTAGCAGAATGAGTGCGCCACACTGATCTCCAGCAACCAACCCGAAGTCTATCAGGAGCATCGTGGGTGAATTTGGAATCAGTTAGTTCAGGTCATCGGACGCTTTGCGGCGATCCAACCAGTTGTTACTGAAGGCAGTCAAACTGCGGAAATGTAGCGAACGAACCCAGAAACAGCCGAATTGCCTATACTTACTGAATTTTTGCAGAATGGAATTCTTAGGCAATGCGTTTCGACATCTGGGCAACAGGGAAATCAACCATCTCGATATGGTATCTTGTAAAAAAATTATTCGGTATGAAGAGAAGAGGAATAAGCTGAGATTTAATAAGAGATAGAAAGTGGTACAAATTGCGTAATGATAAATTACAAAGAAAGTACAAATGTACAATGGTCAGAAGGATCACCATACCCTGCTTTGTTCTGCTTACTCAAGCAATGCTCCATAGCCACGTTGTAACTAATCTCCTCCACACCATACCCAGCAGAATGTCGACGATTACTAAAAAGTGCACAATTCCAATTTGCTTCATTTCTAGAAGCCTGAGACCTGGACTCACGACTTCTAGCAGTATATTTTTCGCGCGGATAACACTCTAGCGAGAGGGCCAATTGCATTTTCGGTTAGACTGCGTTACTGTGGAAAATGAAAGCGAGTGCAATTTTACTCTGACTTATCCTCACAACACAAACCAATTAACCCGCATTCATGGCGTGATTCTGTTAACAAATTCCATGTATTTGGGGAAAATTCAGTGCATCTAAACTGAATAAACATCAATAGGAAACGTTTAACAAATTGTTGACTACAATTGCAACTGAGTGCGCGCCTAATCGATATTTATGTGTCCTGCCCCGAGATCTTCATCCAAGTGCTCATTACAAGCGAAATTCCTTGGGCAATAACTGAAGAAAGAAGTTATGAATAGACCAGGCACGTCACTAACGGAGACAGAGTACTATGGCAAATAAGTTCCTCCATAAGAGATGAAAAATTGACCTGAACAGGATTAAACACAACTGGAGAACATGTTCAAGATTGTTGAATTTCTTACAACCAACAATCTTGTAGGTCATGTTGAATTATTATACGTGGTCAGAACGAGCCATGGAACGAATGGTCTCGGAGACAGAAGGATATATAAAGAGGACGAGATTTCAGAAAGCCATGTGGCGCTTGTGAAGGAAAACGCGATATATCCTCAGCTGTAAGCTACGCACCTTTTGGTTCGCTCCCTGTACTAGCATATCACAAGAATGGGACGCTTTGTTCGCGTAACAGTGAATTGGTGCAGAGTTCTTAATTATGTCATGATTCCCAACTGCTAAACTAGCTTTGAATATCATGTCAAATGTTTTATCTCCTCACCCCTATACTTATGTCCTCATTTCCACAATCTTCCGACTATTATAAGTTGAGTGTATTTACTAGAGCTTTTGTAGTCAAACCAATCAATGTCATGAAAGCACACCAGGTTTATGCCGACTGAATCTGAATACTCGCGATGCATCTCATGGTCAGGTGAAAGTCGAATCTCTTGTGCACACGTACCCCATTGAATAAATGACACGGCTCATTAGGGAGGACGCGCTTGACCTCAAATTAACTGAGGGGCGTTTTGAATGTAACCGATCGCAACTGTCGGTGAAACCGTATATTTGGCAATATTTTATTCGGAAACTGATCCATTGTTAGCCTGAGTGTTGGCAGCAGAAGAAATCTAATCATGACTGTAGGATTTCTAAAATGTCAGCGAATTAGTCGATGTAGATGTATAATCACAGTCCATCTATTGACAGATTCCGATAACCAAACACTGCGTGACGTTGTCTACAGCCACTCAGTTCATAAAAATTCAGTGCCTTCAATGTCCATCTCTGTCCCTGTTTTCGCAGAGATGTGTGACATCTAGCTACCCACTGAGTTTCCAGCCAGTGGACTTTACGTTTGGTGGTTACTACCTATTCCATCACAACGAGTCCCTACACCGTATTTCAATCAGGCATGGAGAAGTATGAAATTTCAACCACTGCTTTCGTGAATAGCCGTATAGCGGACATTTCCTTGTTCCATAAATCAACTTCACTTGATATGTTTAGTCTATCCGTTTTCACTNCGTCACAAACATTCAAACCACGTGACAATTCATATCGCGTTCGCAACCTTAGCGATGACAAGTCATTTCCCGTCTTGTACGCATTGAAACGATTGTACGTACTCTACACACGTCAAACATCCCACATATAGTTAGACAGACCACTGAAACCTTTTGACTTATTTGATTGTTCGCGCTGTAAACTACTGTCTGCCATAACGAAAACCGTTATTAGTACTTTTAAGTTATTTTATGTTGATCGATTATCATATACTGTGCACCAATAAGTGCTTCTTTTCGGCACTGTTATAAGAAGCGATTGGTTCATATTCAACAATTGC